AGCTTGGATGAGGGGCGAAACGTTTCTTTTTAACAAAAAAACGAAGTCCAGATGACATGATTCAACCTTTTTTGTTGATATTTAGTGACAGTTTGTTTAGATGTCTCATGGGATTGTTTGTATTTTGTAGTTCCAGGAGGGAAGACATCATATGGGGTTCAGGAATTGTGCCAGTGCAGATGAATATTTCTCTTAGAGTGAACGTGCAGGTGGAGAGCGGACAGGGTGGGGCAACACAGGTGAGCGGTGAGGAATGGAGGAGTTAAGATGGCCGCGAAAGAATCGAGGCAACCCAGGTACAAGGAAAGCCGAAGAAGATTCAGGAGGATTCAAAGGAGGTATTTTCTAGAACACAGGTAAGCAAGATTAGTGTATTTATTTTTCAAGGAGAGAGTTGAACGATTCAATCACCAAGTGGCTTTATCGATCCAATAAGGAATGATGATCCAGGCCAGCCTTCTATCCCACGGTAAAAATCACCAGATTGCTGATAGCTGGTAGTGTTGCCTCAGGAATGCCCACTCTGTGCACATTCAGAAAAAGAAGATGATTATGAATGTGTAAAACTAAAATCTCTGATTAAAAACATTATCTAATCCATTCATCATCTTTGCCTTGTTCTGGAGTCAGTGTGCCAGGGACAGCAGCTTGAACAGGGAGGGCCCTCTTTCTACAGCATCCTCTTGTAGGACTCCAAGGCATTCCCAGGCTAGCCAAGAGACAATAGTCTCTCCATTGTGTCCAGAGTCTTCCCCAGGGTCTCTTCCCAATTGGTCATGCCTGGAAAACCATAAGGAGGCATCCTTACCAGATGCCAGAACCACTTAAACTGGTTCCTCCTGATGTGGGTGTGCAGCGGTTCTACTCGGAGTCTCTCCAGGATAATTGGGGACTAACTGAAGGCAGCCACATATTATCACCTGAAAAGGGTCTTGTGCTTCTATCAACTTCAATGCGGCTTGAACCTCAGTGTGTACCCCCACAAATGTTATATTAAAATGACCGGCTCGGGACCGTGATGTGTGCTATTACTTCTATTAGCATTTAGAGTTACCATGGCGACAAAATTTTCAAACAAAGATGCAATTTTTCTCATTGAAAAACCCTGACAGAACTCTTAACAGCTTCTAATGGACCTGACATACTCCAGCTGAATCCAAACAGTCAACTTGCGGTCACGTGGTTGCAGGACATTTGTTTTTGCACACACCGTAGTCCATAAGACACAGGTGCAGAGACTCCCGCTGCAGTATATATCACTGCTCAGGTTTCTTCCCGCCAGAGTCTCCACTCTTTTCCTGCATCTGCCGTTTGGCCACAAATCTATCATGAAGAAAGCGCCACCCTTTTCACAGACAGACTCCTCCATCCACAATGTCGGCACAATCTCCATCCAGGAGTCTTTGTCCATTTCACTAATTTAGTGTTTGTTTAGTCATGTAGCAGGGAGTGGTGGCACAGAGGATAGAGAAGGTGGGCCTGTGATCAGAAGGTTGCCAGTTCAACTCCCCGAACCAACAGCGTCAAAAAGTGGGTGACAGGTGAAATAACCACACCTGTCTCCACCCTCATTTGCCCCACTCTAGGCCCTTGAGCAAGGCCCTTAACCCCCACCATCTGCTTCCTCAACTCAACTTTATTTTTGGTAATTTAAAAACATTACAAAAAATGGAAAAACAATATAAAATGGTAAATCAATTATTTACCAAAAAAGGAATAGGCTGAAGCCAAGGCTTATACTTGCCTACCCTGTTCATAGACTCAGCAGTCTACATAATGACAGATATCTACTGTCCACATATACACATACAGACATTTACCGTATATTTAAATATTTAAATATGCATGTATACAATACATACATATACTTGCATTACATAAATTTACCGTATAAGGTGCCCTAGATGACAGCTCTCTGCTCCACACAAAGGGCTGTGGTGGCTCAGTGGTCTATGGTTGAGTCAGGAAGGGCATCCAGCATATAAACGATTGCCAAGTCTTCATGCGAGTTAGTTCACTTTGGCGATCCCTGAAGAATGGATCAGCTGAAATAAAAAAATAACTAAATGAATAAACATGCCCACAAACATCTGACCAGTCACACAATACTTGGCGCACACGCCTGTGAGAAAAGGTCAGTCAAAGTCTTGTGTCGAGAAGGGGTGGGGGATGCTGCTCTGTGAACAAAATGACACCATTTTTGTTACACAACTGCGACAGTGAGAGCAGATTTCTACACTTCTGAAGGAGTTTGTTGGGCCCTCCACTGCCACAGTGAGGTCACATGACCCATGGAGTCGAGAGGTCTCTGAACAAAACTCAGTATGTCATCGAACAAACTCTTCCTACCACCACATCTTTTAAGATACACATTTGTACTATACATATATACTATATATACTATATGTATGTATATATATATATATATATATATATATATATATATATATATATATATATAAACACAGGCTTTTTTATTTATCAAAATTTTTAAATGACAGCCATGCAGCAGTCCCCACCAAAGTTTCTCCAGGAACTTTCTAGTTGAATTTTCTGTTTCTAAGGGAGAGTCCAGGTACAGTGTAGATAAAATTCATTTTGACTATTTGTATCTGCATTCTTATTCTTTTGTTTACTACCCAGAGTTAGTGACCATAGGTGAGAAAAGACCAACCCGTAAACAGAGCTTCACCTTACAGCCCAGCTCCTTCTTCACCAAAATGGACCGGACCATTGTAAAATTTAGTTTAATTTTAATCAGATTGATGAGCAAACAGCTAAGGTAGTTTGTTCTAGTTTCAAAATACCTCAGAGATTTCAAAATGATTCATAGGAACATTGTTTTGTAGACAGTTTAAGCATAATCAGTTTAACGTTCTGTCTTTCTTTATGTGCACACATAGTGGAAACAGCAACAACATACTTGGTCAAAAATATTATAACATTTCTGCTGGAAAGTGATGTGAAGTTTCATAAAGTGGTGGTCACATGCACATGCACAGATGGCACCCATCCACTTTGGTCTCTGCGCAGCACAGTCCAGCCTTTAGCTCATCAATTCAGTCAGAATTAAACTGAGATCATTCAAAAAGTTATCTAGCAACAGGTAAGATATTAAATTTCACAATTAAAGCTACTTGAAAAAAATCTGAACTATTACTTTATAAAGCATGATAAGGTGTTGCATCCTTTTAACAACTATGAAATAAATAAATGTTGTCTGTCACGTTTCTGTTTTATCAGATGAGTTTTGTTTTAAAATTTGCATATCGTAATTATGTTGAACAGATCCACTCCCAGAGAGCCAGTACTTTACCTTAAAATTACTTAAATGAATGCAGCTGAGCGATGCAGAAAAAAAACAAGTTAATTAAAATACAAACAGAGCTCAGATCTTCCATCGATTGTTTGAGAAATAATTGAAATGCCCTTTTCTCTTGTGTTTTCTATAAAAAGTCTCTTCAGAAAATGGATAAATTGTTGCTCAACATCCGCAGACAGCTTGGCTGAAAACGCACCCTGCACAGAAACTGCCAAAACCTTTGACTTTGATTCTGCCAAAGGAGTTATTCCACATTCCTGCTCCTTTCAGATCACAACAAAGAAGTTTTGGAGGTAGAAGTAGATTTTGAATTTTCTGCAGAGAAGTTGGTTCTGCATTTTAATTCCCACACATAACAACTCAAACTTTAATTACTCATTTGTTGCGTTGGATAATTATTTATTTGTCTGTTCACTGAAGTGAATTTGTCTTCAAATTTTTAAACAGATAATTGATTCATTATTTGTCTCTTTTTTTGTTGTTCTTCTTGTCACAATAAGAATGTGAATCCCATTAATGCAACTTAAAGCCTCATTTATTTTTGCCACAGCGCCCCCAGTGCCTCTTTTTTTTTTTTTTTTCCAGTGAATGATGTTTAAAAAAAAAAACCTAGTTGATGGAAACGCGCAGCAAACTGTTCGATTTGACTGGATGAGTCATCGTCCTTTGCGCAGTCAAGTTGTAAACTCACTAGCGTCACGTCTGCTCTTTGGGGGCAGGAATGTAAATCCAGAGGGATTAGCAAGAAGGCACTGGGCTGTGACCCCCCTCAGCAGCTCTCTGGGGGGGTCTGCCTCAGTGCGTAAAGTTGGGAAGGAGCTCCGGACGCGGCGCGCAGCTGCATCATCCCGCAGGCTCCGTGTGCGTCACCGCAGCGGGGATTTCTCCCATCTGGACGACACTACTCCCGCCGGCTCGCTGACAGATGAAAACAGTGGCGTTTCGCGGATGTTAAACACTTGAACTGATCATCTGTCCCGGAGCGCAGAGGGGGACATGGGTCAACTTAATGGTGCGACTCTTTTACCATTTGGCGCAATCTGTGTGGTTTTCCTGTGGGAATCTGGGGCCAGCTCTGTCAGGACGACGGTGGAAGTGGACACATCGAGGTAAACATGTTGATTTGTGTCTAAATTGTGCATTTAGTTTAACACAGGATGTTAATTAGCAGTTTTTTAAAATAGTTTTAGCCATTACGCATTTAGAAATCTTCTTCTGAGCTTTAGCACCTTGCACAGTTGTTGGTAGCATTCACTCTCTTGTTCCAGAATTTAATTTAATCTCTAATCCAGCTCTTCCCCGTCAGATTAACGCACAGAGCCAACAAGCATCACGAGGATTGAAACTGTTTTATTGCTTTTTGCCTTTATTTACGACATGTCCAGTGAGCTGGCTGCCAAAGAGGAGTCTCCTGCTGAATCTTATATGATCTGTGAGAAAATGTCCAGAGCAAAAGTACCAGAGGTTCTCGTGGAACAGAGAGCCAAGATGTTTCTTGTGCTCACAGACAACATGACAGATGTCAAGGTGCCAGGGAGAGAGTGGGTCAGGGGGTGAGGAGGGGATGTGAGAGGAGGAAACCGCTAAACTCCAGAGAAAGAAGCAGCAATATTGCATTTTCACATGCATGGATTGAAAGTGTGGTGCAAACTCTCTGGATTGTGTTACAGTGGAGGGAAACCCACCTATCACTGTGATGGATGGCCTCTAGTAAGAATGGCTGTGAAACGACACACAGAACTGTACTCTGAGCTGCAGTGTTCATCATAAACTGGTGCTTTTTGTTTTGACACATGTCTGAACGTTCACACTGTTTGATATTCCCTCCATGGTGGTCACATTGACCTCAGAGATGGATCAAAATATTTTAACCTTATTGTCAGCACACTAACCGCTTATTGTCACACAATGGTTGAGGTGTTTTATCTGAAAGAAAAAGTAACGTTTAGATTATTCTGGTGTGATCTGAAAGCTGCCACATTGATAATGATTTTCAATTAAACTAATTCAAAATTCAAGCTTCTTTATTTGTCATCCGTGGTGCGAATGAAACTGTGTACACTGGGTCCCAGTTGCATCCAACAATGTAAATGAACTGCACTTGTATAACACCTTTCTGTCTTATCCAGATACTCAAAGTGCTTTACACTACAATGTGTGTCCTCATTTATCCATTCATACAGCACTCTACTAGAGCTATACAGAGAATAATCAGTGCTTTATCACATCTATACATTGATGGGACACATATCAGAGGTAATAAGGGGTTCAGTGTCATGCCCAGGGAATCAAACCCCCAACTCTTGCATTGGAGGGCAACTGCTTTAACCACTCAGCCACAGCCACTTTAATATTAATAGTACAAGTATTAAAATGTAAAATAAAAACAGTAATAAGATCTAAGATATGAACTAAGAAAAATGTTGACTAAAATATGATAAGCACTAGTAGTATAAAAAAAACAATATGCCGAACAGCAGCACGAACATGAGTCTGTGTGAGCAGATGAGCACGTATGAACACAGCAACATTCAAACAAATCAGCAGCAACATGAAACAGATCAGCAGCAACATGAAACAGATCAGCAGCAACATTGAAACAGATCAGCAGCAACATGATGTGATTTTTTTACAGTGATTATTCTGATTAGATATTCATGAGTCTAACAGCCTCAGGGTAGAAGCTGTCCCTCACTCTAGTGGTTCTACACTTAATGCTCCTCAACCTCCTTCCTGAGGGGAGTGGGACAAAAAGTGTGTGTGCTGGGTGAGTGGGATCCTTCATGATGCAGGTGGCCCTCTTCCTGCTTCTGGAGGTGTAGATGTCTGTGATGGTGGGGAGACTGACTCCAACATCTTCTGTGCAGCCTTCACCACTCTCTGCAAAGCTTTTCTTTCTGCAGCTGTGCAACCTCCATGCCACACGTTGATGCTGGAGCACAGGATGCTCTCCACTGCACACCTGTAGAAGGAGGTGAGGACTGAGCTTCCCAGACCAGCTCGTCTCAGCCGCCAGAGGAAGTAGAGTCTCTGATGAGCTTTCTTGATCAGGCTGGTGGTGTTGTTGCTCCAGCTGAGGTTGTCATTCATGTGTACACCCAAGTACTTGTAGCTGGAGACCACTTCCACCACAGATCCTCCTATGTTCAGGGTGGGTAGGTGTGTTTGTTCCTTCTGAAGTCCACAACCATCTCATTGGTCTTCTTCACTTTGATGTGAAGGTTGTTCTCCTTTCACCAGCTCTCCAGGTGTTCCACCTCCTGCCTGTAGCTGGACTCATCATTGTTTGTGATGCATCCCACCACCACTGTATGTCATTTGATTGTTTAGAGCAGGGGTTCTCAAACTTTTTGTGTTCAGGGACCCCCTCATAACCTTCATGTTTATTAAATCATTTTCATAAATTTGTCTCTTTATTGCAATGGAAATATTTGTGTAACATAAATATTTAAAACCTGTTTTTTAATTGTGTTAATACATTTTTTTTTATACTTTTAAACATGGAGTATTTTTCATTCAAGACACACTAATTAACAACATTTTTAATTTCAACTTCCAAAAATTACAGTTTTGAGAAAATTAACAGCATCAAAAAACACTTTCAAACGGAACATGAATGTATCACCACTTCTTCAAATTATTACAGAAAACTCTTTACATTAAACTGAACAGAAGTGAAAACTGTAGTAAAACTGAACAGCAGGTAATGAGGCTTAATTTGTAAATTGATCGAAACACAAATAGCGGGCAGGCTGGTGGGGGTAGTGGGGTCTGGGTGTCGTCCCTAGAACATTTTAATAAAGCAGATGTGATTTCCTGCCTTTTGGTGTATTTTAACGGGTTAATAAATATCTACGCATTTGTAAAAATAAACATTTGTGGACCTCCAAGCACCGGCTTGCGGATCCCCGTGGATCTGGTGACCCTAGTTTGAGAGCAACTGCTTTAAAAAAAAGAAAATGAGGGTATCCTTTTTAACCAATGTTGTCAGGGTTGCAAATAAAACCTTTTTCATTCAATCTACAGACTTTTTTTTTTTACAACTATCTAAGTTCAATAAATCACTTGAATCATTAAATAAATAAAAGTAAACGGGAAAATAGTTTGTCAAAGTTCTGCAGAGGCCAAGGTGAAGTTCCTCTTGTCTGCTTTAAGATCCAAATCTGATTCACTTTGCCCAGTTTTAAAAAAATAATCCCTGTAATCCTTTCGTCTTGGCTGGACTCCTGGTTCTGTTTGATATGTGATCCAAACTGAAGGCCTTCGTGTCAAAAGTTCTTGAACTATAAGAGGAGCTTTGATGAGGAAGAAAGTAAGATAATTAAACGATTTGTCCTCTATTTGTTGCTGTTATTCTCCAGATTCCTGTCCCTGTTTATGTTCATGTATCAAATGCACATTTTCAGTTCAGGCAGCAGACACTGCACTAAAACTCTGTTTCATTTGTTCTCTCTCTCATGTGTGGTCCTGGTTTTTTAATCTCAGCATGGAGTGTCCAGAGAATAAAATCCTGACTGTGGAGTATCCCTGCGTCAGAGCCGGGGGGAGGAACGGCACCTGTTTCAGGTAGGCTGCGTGATGGTTCTCTGCAGTCAAGATTGTCCTTGTTTGTATTTTTTCTTCTCATATTTCTGAGGCAGATTACACGTTTACATCTATTCAGCTCACGTTGTTTCCAAGAATAGTGATTTGTTTCCTTGGCTGGACAAGTAGTTGCTGATGTCTGCAGGGAGAAATGATTTTGATTTTTTCTGAGGTTATGGAAATATTTGCTGCTGTGTCATTTATTTCCACGGTAAACGTCTGACTGAAAACCTTTGGGGAGCAAAAAACAATTCCTGAACAACATAATTCAAATTTAGAATGATGATTTCCCGTGTTTGTGAATGTGTCATACGTCTGTTTATTCTTTTTAACTTCCCTTTCATAACTTCCCCAGAGGAAAAGGTGAATGTTTACAGCTGTTTGCACACTGGTTTTACTTCCTATGCCTTTCATTTATCATCTGTGCTGGCTCTGTGACAGCCAAACAGAAAGATGAGTTATTTTCAGCTTTGGTCCAGATGAAAGGCACAACCCTGAGGGGGGGTTAACCTAAAATGCAGAACCTTGACGTGTAAAGATGCTGCTTGTTGTTTTTGTTTTGTCTTTTGAAAGAAATCCAGTTAACACCAGCTTTAAACTATGAAGATATTATTTTTAATGTGAAAATAGTGAAATCAGATGTTTTTTAGGCTTTAAAAGTTTGACGTAAAGAAGTTAGCTTTCTCTTTGGGGCGACTGTGGCTCAGTGGTTGAAGCAGTTGTTTTCCAATGCAAGAGTTGGGGGTTCAATTCCACCAGCAGTCACAAGCTGAAGTGTCCATGGGCAAGGCATTGAACCCCTTATTGCCTCCAATGTGTGTGTATATAAGTGTGATAAAGCACTGATTATTCTTTGTATAGCTCTAGTAGAGTGCTGTATGAATGGGTGAATTACACAGATTGCAGAGTAAAACACTTGCAAAAGGTGCAATATAAGTACAGTCTGTTTACCATTTTGCCTCTTTTTCTTTCAAACATACATCCTCCAGTTTAATTTACAAACTGTTTGACATACATGAGGCATCTATGCAGACATTATGAGCAATATAAAACAAGTTGTAAGACTTTCAGCTCTTGATAAATCACACACAATGAGGCGATTTCTGTGCAAATCACTTGTGCTGGCAAAGAGAAAGTTTTCTTTTTGTGAAGCCAGACTCTGGCTCTGGTTTTGGTTGTCGGAACAAGAAGATCCTTGAATAAACGAGGCACCGGCTCTGGTGTGATGCCAGTCTTTGCGATCTGTTTACTGTCAAGGCTGGACCATAACCGGCTCTGATTCCGGTTTGATTTCTGGCTCGGCGAGAGACGTGTGGAGCTGGAGGAGGTGGATTAGATCGGGCTGTATTTTCTTTGTCTCTCAGCTCAGATCTGGACGAAATAGATTTTGCAGATGACGTTGCAGAGCACCAGATTGATCCGTTGTGGGTGAGCATTAATGTGACTTTGTAGTTCGTTTCACTTGGTCCAAAAATGAATAATAAACCAGCTGCCAGTTTGTTTGAACAGATTTTAGGTATTTGAGTTTGTCACGTAACTGAATGATGTATTTATACTGCGTGCACAACTCTTAGTACCTGTTCATGCAAAAAAAAAAAAAAAAAAAAGCAGGACTGTCTGTATTTGTATTTAGCAAAGACTGGAAATAAGCATAAAGTCTCTTTTTTTTGTTGTTGCCAAAGTTCTGGCTTTGATGTTGTGAAGAAAAACTTTAAAATAAAAACCAGAATTCTTGATTTATTCTTGAACCAAGCACAGATCAAAAACCCCGCCTGACCCGGAGAGGAGACCTTGAAAAGCAGCAGTATAAACCGGACATCCTATTTAAATTCTTTTCATGTGAAGGTGACTGAAGGTTCATCGTTTCTCCCGTAAAACCAACGGTTCACATAAATCACTAACAGCCTGAAATAAAGCGACGTGCGCATGGAAACGTCTGACCTAAGGTTTTGTACGTCTTGCTGACCTGTTCACGTGCGCAGCTCTGATGGCAGCAACAATAAAGGACGGCGAGTTGATGAAAACGCTTTTAAACGGACAGGATTTTGGACTGAGCTAGAAAAACAAAACCTTCTGGTTGATCCGTTTGCTGACAAATAAGAAAAACTATCAAACTATCAAATTGTTGGATTTTATACCTGGATTATTGAGCATGGACTTTGGTGTTTTGAACCAGTTTGACATGACTGTCGACGAGGGAGAGGGTGGGCACTGGAGGAGAGGGCGTGCCCCAGAGGCCATCTTAGCACCAACATAACTGTTTTTTCCACTTTTGTAGTAAGCTGTTGGTGGAGAATCAGTTTTGTTTGGTGTTTCCTCAGACTGATGAAGCCCTTTGGATGGAGGGTGAAACGTCTCAGCACAAAACAGAAACCGCCCGATGACCTGACTGAACATTGTTGAATTTATTCCTAGATTATTGAGCATGGACTTTGGTGCAGCAAACATTAAAGTCATTAAGTTTTCTATTATTGCTTTTTGGCTGCAATTACAGTACGGTCCAAATGCATTTATCATCTTTAATTGCACATTTAGAATATTTCACTTTTAACCACAAATCTATAAGCAGGAGGTTACTTCCTGAATTGTATATTTTCTTTAACTGAAAACTATTAAGTAAAGTCTAGTGAAAGCAACATTAAAAATACTTGCTAACATGTTTAATGCAGAGTTGCGTTCACTTGTATTTTGGAATCTACAGCAGGGATTAAGAATAAATAATTGTGGTTTTCTGCGACGAGCCAACAAGAACAGCAGCACATGAGGAGAAATCCAAACCTCCACCAACCTGACAGGTCTAGTTATGGTTCCTAACCTTCGATTGCTCAGTCATGCTTCACCCAAGGCTGGTCGGTGATTTAATTTCTACACACAGCACTGCTTTGTGTTGCCAGTTTTCTCACAATTTTCCTCCAATTTTTTTTTATTGAATTTCCTCACCTGGCACGACACTCATGCTACAGTAAAATGGGACTGCATGATATTTGTGAGGTTATTATAATAAAAAAAAGGCACGGTAAAATTTTGAAAAGCTCACACTTTTTCAAACAAAGTGGATTAAGTTGCTCTAAAAATTGAAAACAAATCATAGCAGCGGAGTTGTGTTTGCACTTCAGATGAACTGCTCGACTCAGTAATGTTTCTGTTCAGCGGTCGTCGTCTTTACAAACCGCCAGCGCGCTTTGTCTGCCCTGCAGTTTTTACTGCAGTCGTCCTTTAGGTCTGTCCTCAGTGAGACTTGTCATGGATAAAACTGTCAGCTGATATTTAAATATGAGCCTCTGTCTCCGAAGAGATTTTGTTGCTGCACAAAAGTAACTTTGGCCCTTTTACCTTCCCTGTTAGTCCTATTTTCTCATTTACATGGATGTAAATCAGCTTGTTTTGAACTTTTGTTTTTCCCGTTCTGTCAGATTTAAGACGTCTGTGCACAGTTCTTACTCAGGGATGTTGTAAGTCTGTGTGTGTTATTGTGTGAGTCTGTGTGACTTACAGCAGGTTTGTGATGATGAGGGCTACATTTCCTCTCCCACTGTCTAAACACTCTCAGCTGCAGAGTCTGACAGAGGACTGATGGACTCTACCAGACTCCATACAGTTCTTCTGTTTGATGGACACACGCTAGTTTAAATCTTCTGCACGACTCATTACTGCATCAGAAAATGCCCATAACATCGTGTGAGCTCAGGCTGTAGAACAAAATGGTGATAAATGTTACAGGGACATGACTCATCTCATCTGTTGCCTGTCAGATTTTAACTGTTTCCATATTCAGTGACTCTTCCCTCCCAGGAGGCTCAGTGTAGATTTAAAGTCTGCAACAAAGAAGATCAATGTCGTCTGACTTTTACTCACTGTGGCATGTATGAAAATTTTCTAAACACATTCAAAATGGTGCAGAGTTTGCAAGGAAGTGGGCATGTTTTTCTGTAAAGGAGAGTTTGACCTCCTGAGAGCTGTGTGCAGATGATTTCTTAGCATATGTATGAAATTTTCTGCGGTCAAATTCATTGAAACGGTTTACACATCCAATATTTTACAGGAAATTGGAGAGTTTCATACATGTCACTAAAATTTATGCTTAAAAACACCGTGCCATTCACAATTCTGCATTTATAAAACGTATCACTAACTATTAGGACACCAAAAATCAAATTATGGCCAAAATATTTTGCTTTATTTGTCTAAGTAACAAAATGTAACTGGGCCATTTATTACCATCCATCCATCCATTATCTTTACCCGTTTATTCCATTTTGGGTCACGGGGGTCGCCATTGCCCATGTCCAGCAATCACTGTGCGAGGGGCGGGGTACACCCTGGACAGGTCGCAAGTCCATCACAGGGCCACATAGAGACAAACAAGACAAACAACCATTCACTCGTTCACTCACACCTAGGGACAATTTAGAGTTACCAATCAGCCTAACATGCATGTTTTTGGTCTGTGGGAGGAAATTGAGTACCCGGAGAAAACCCACGCATGCAGGGAGAGAACATGCAAACTCCACCCAGAAAGGCCCCTGGACTGGGGTTTGAACCGGGGACCTGCTTGCTGAGAGGCAGCAGATCTACCAGTTGCGCCACCGTGCTGCCCGCTATTTATTACTTTTATGTTACATACAACAAATATTTGTTTAGGTTACAATTCTTACTGAATAACTTCTGTTTCTGACCTTTTTAAATGCATATTCTGGTGCAGAAGTCATGACAAACTCTGACGGTTGAGGCGTGTGTACGTGCAGAGGGTGCACGCTGATCTCAGTGTGCAGCTGCAGGTGACTGAGCCCTGGGTTCTGCAGTACGACTCAACATTTCACTGGATTTTATCAACAGCTTGTTGCTTGCTGCTGCAGCAACAACTCTTGTTTACAGTGAAAGAAGGTGGCATCTGCAGCTTTCTCACATAACTCCACTGATTCATGATTCACAAACAAGGCTGATGTTCAGTTCAAGTTCTTTTTTTTTCTTCTTTCATCTGC